CCTGCCTGACACTTGCCCTGCCCAGTGACTTCTTAAGGTATTTCTTTTTCTTTTCCCCTCCCGACAATCAGCTGTTCCTACGATCAGCTGTGCTGGGATTCCCCTTGCTTACTTACTGCTTTGCCCAGGAGGCTTCCCTGAGACCCAGGAAGTCCCAAAATGAAATGTGTGTGTGTGAGGGGGTGCTGTGCGGCCCCTCCAGGCTTCAGTTTTTCTCTTCCTGAGCCCAGGGAAGCTTCCTGGGAGCAAAAATGCCCCCCTAGAGGCTTACCTAGGGCCCAGAAGGCCCCCCAACTGGGGGGGGTGTGGTGTGCTGCTGCAAAAAAATCCATGCCCACCCTGTCACATGGCCATGCCCACCAAGCCACGCCCACAGAACCTGTAGTAACATTTTTTTGAATCCCACCACTGCTATTAAGTGAATTGCTACAGTTGTTAAGTTAGTAACACGGTTGTTAAATGAGTCTGGATTCCTCATTGACCTAGCTTGTCAGAAGGCCACAAAAGGGGAATCACATGACTGTGGGACACTGCAACCATCAGAAATGTGGGTCAGTTGTCAAGCATCTGAATTTGGATCAGGGGACCAAAGGGATGCTGCGAACAGTCGTGTCAGCTAGATTTCCAGCTTGGTTTTCCTGAAGCTTGCTTGCTCTCGGCAGCCATAGAAACAGGGAGGGGGTGTTTAGGCCTTTGGGATGGGGAAGCAAGCTGGTGTTTAGCAGTCCCATGAGAATTGGAAGGGAGGTTTGCCCTCATGAACTCTGGTGCTACTGAGTGGAGTTATCAGTGGTGGGATTCGAATTTGTTTACAGTCGGTTCTGTGGGCGTGGCTTGGTGGGCCTGGCAGGGGAAGGATACTGCAAAATCCCACTTCCCTACCCACCCCATTAACCTGCTTTCCAGCTCTGTTCTCCTGTGCAGGGCAACCAAAGAAGACCCAGCCAATCAGCTGGGACTCGATGGGAGGCAGGGAATAGATGGGGCCAGTCAGAGGTGGGATTTGCCGGTTCTCCAAACTATTCAAAATTCCGCTACCGGTTCTCCAGAACCTATCAGAACCGGCTGAATACTACCTCTGGATGTTACACTTCTTCAAGGCTAACCATCCTAAGTCACAAAACATCTGCATAGGAGATTTTCCCATAACATTTTTATTGGACGCTGATTGGACTCTCAATGCTGAACGATGGGGTGATTTTCACTGTCAAACTTTTGTGTGGCTTATTCCAGATCTTCCCTTGCTTTCCCCGCTATCAGTTCATTCTTAGTAACAGAATAACAGAGTTGGAAGGGACCTTGTAGGTCATCTAGTCCAACCCCCTTCCCCAAGCAGTAGCCCCTGCACCATTTCTGACAGATGGCAGTCCAGTCTCTTCTTGAAAGCTTCCAGGGATGAAGGTCCCTCAACTTCCAAGGGCAACTTCTGTTCCAGGGGTTGATTGTTCTCACTGTCAGAAACTTTCTCCTTGTTTCCAGGTTGAATCTCTCCTTGATCAGTTTCCATCCACTATTCCTTGTCTGGCCTTCAGGGGATTTGGAAAATAGCTTGACCCCTTCCTCCTCCTCTCTGTGGCAGCCCCTCAGATATTGGAAGGCTGCTCTCCTGTCTCCCCTGGTCCTTCTCTTCCCTAGACTAGCCAGGCCTACTTCCTGCAACCGTTCGTTGTATGTTTTAGCCTCCAGTCCCCTAATCATCTTTGTTGCTCTTCTCTGCACTCTTTCTAGAGCCTCTAGAATTTCTAGAGTGAAAATAGAGTTGGATGTTTTCTTTCTTAGGATTTGAATGGAGGTAGACCTGACAGGCCATAATTGTGAAAAATGGTCATGTCACTTTTTTCAATGCTGTTGTAGCATTGAATGGTCACTACAGAAACTGTTGTAAGTAGAGGATTACTTTTACATTATATATTTACTTTTTATACTGCATTGTTCTAAGCTGGTCTTTGAGTGTAATTGAGTTGATATGATATGGTGGATAGAATGCTGTTTTCTTTCTCTTTAAAAACACAGAAAAAGAAAACCCAAATAACTAAAGAACATTGGAGAAAGATTATAAAACAGATAAATTTCATGTATAAACTCCTTGGTCATACTCCTTGTTATAGAAAGACAGGAAATTCTGCGTTTAGCCAGAAAACTTTCCTCAGTTTATTTCTGTAAATACATTTTGAAAACAAGGTCTTAAAAATGCAAGGTTGTTTTTCTATGAATTGCAATCTTTGGCAGTTTTTTCCCCCAAATATCTTATGTTATATTTTCTTGTATTGGACTGTATTGCATACTGGCATATTTTTTTCTGCATAGCTCTTATGGGAAAATGTATTTTTTGTGTCTGTCATTTTTCATCAAAAGAAACTACGTATTTCTTTTACTTCTCTAAATTAGACTTTCAATCAGCGGAAGGCTCACAATTCAGGGAGGAATCAGAAGCTAAGGTAATTGAAACTTTAATTAAACCTTAAAATATAGCGTAACTATATTTGGGTAATGACTGTAAGTATATATAGATCTTTCTCTGAAGCGAAAACCACTGATTTAAAATGTTCTTTTAAAAAATGACAAACGACAAACAGCCAAACAATGGAAGGCAATTACAAAATTTTAAAAAGATAATTATGGGAAACATAAAATCCACCACACCAATAGAGAGAATGTACTCAAAATCAAATTGAGCCTAAAAATATGGAAATGCATATAGAAAAGCAAATCTCTTTGTTCACCTTCCAAAGGTGTCAATGTAGGTTTCTGGCATGTCTCCCTAGACCAGGCATTCCAGATGTGGGACCCCATAACGAAAAAATCCCCCTCTGTGTGATCAGTTGCCCCAGTAGTGGGTTCCTACTTTGGTTGCTACCAGTTTGGTGGGTGATTTCCGCCCCCTAATGCATCAATTAGCCGAGAGGATGAAGAAACGAAAAGCTAGGAGCAACCCTCCCCACCTGCCCACACGCCTGTTGTTTCTTTTATCCTCTCAGCTGATTGTCAGAGGAACCGGTTTGGCTGTACCGGTAGGGTTTTTTTTACTACCGGTTCCGCTGAACTGGTCCAAACTGGTAGCATACCACCTGTGATGACCCGGGGCATGGCACAAAAGCAACAAAGTCACAAAAGAAAGTAAAGTCCCTTTAATTCCTCCAACTTGGCTCCCAATGTCCAGTTATCATCGGCTGGAGAAAAAACTCTCCCAAGAACAGTTTTTAAAGGGAAGAAATTCCTTCCAAACCCAAAGTACATCTAGATTATAAATAAAAAGCAACACAAACCACGCTGCAGCAATTAATGAGAGCAGGATAAGGGATTGCAGACTTCAAAAGATAACGAAACACCCACAGTTGGGAGGATGCCAGAACCCCGATAAGACTTGACAGACAAAGATAATTCATGCTTTGCTTCTAGCAAGGTACTGTGCGCAAACACCCTTTTCAAATCCTGTTCTCCCAGCTGCAGCTAATGAAGGGAATTAGGGCCCTTTTCTTCCCTGTAACCCACATTGCTCCCTTTTCCATTCCTCCCTGTGTGCCCTAGGATGAAGAGGGGGTGGGACTGGGTCTTCCTCTAATTGCCGAGCCAGACTGTGCCCTTCCACAGTTTCTTCCACAGCCTCCGGAGCCACATTCCCACTCCCTGTCAGCTGCTCGACCTCCCCCTCGGACTTAGATTCCACAAGGGGCATGACACCACCACTGAATTGCCCCATTACCCTTAGCAAGGTCACCTGCATATTGCCTGAGCATCCCAAAATATAAGAGAAGGCCAGGGAGAGCCTGAGGAAGGAGTCAAGAGAGGAATCAGCCTAGAATCATTACGTTCCCACAAGAGGTCTCAGTCCAACCCTTCTTGAATTCTGTTGATTCTTATCCAACACCAATTTAATCCTGATCATTAGCTGATTAGATTATTTTGTATAGGCGTAAGCAATAAAGCTTGACTAGAACTTATGGATTCCAAGACAAGAGTCTGAACAGTCAAGATGGGAGTTGAAGGGAAATGGTTAGGATATCCATGCTGTAAGGCATCCAGAAAGTATCCATGATGTCAATCACTCTGAGACATATTCTCTCCAGTTGATTTATTTAGGAACAGATTTGGTACGTTTAAGGCAATTTCCCCAAAAGAAAGTATTTTTGTGTGTTACACAGAATCCACCTTCTCTCCTGCCACTTATACACTTCATAAATCATGAGAACCAATTAACTGCAACTGGAATTTCTTAGTACGACATACAGAATGATCTTGAACTTTTCAACTCCTCCACCTCCCCTTGAATTATGTGGCAGCTGAATTTCAAAGCTGACACATGCCCTAAAACAGGGGTGTCACGATTTCATTGAGGGCCACATCAGGGTTGTACTTGACCTTGGGGGGGGGGGGGGGTGGGGCATAGCAAAGGTGGGTGTGGCCAGCTTGACGTCACTCCTGTCGGGGGCGCCTGTGGTGGCCCGAGAGCTCTGCCAATGGATTCTTCCAATGAATTCTTCCAATGAATGGGTGCCTGAGCTCCGTTTTTGGTTGTGATGGCCTCCTGCGACCCTCTGCCAGCAAAAACTGAGCTCTGTTTTTACTGGCAGAGGCACCGTGGGCCGGTACATCGCTGTTTCCAGGGTGGCCCTGCAGGCCAAATCTAAGAACCCCATGGGCTGAATCCAGGCCCCGGGCCTTGAGTTTGACACCCCTGCCCTAGAATCTCTAAGAGTACATCCATTAGGTTAGAAGATTATAGCTTTACTCTGGCAAGATTCTGTCTATTAGGTGTAAGCAAACGAAGAATTGGACTCATTTGGATTTCAGCGTGTCATCTTTGGGCTTAGGCCTGATATTATACAATCTCAAAACAACATCCTCATCACACGTGCCCATAGAGTCCTTCCTGTCTCACTTCTTTGCGCACAGAGTTTTCAGTGGCTTTCCCGTCACTGTCGGCTCGGTCCAGGAAGAAGTGGAGACATCAGTGCCTGTCTTGATGGGGCAAAGCAGTTCAGGAATCTAAAGGGACTCACCTGGTGTTGTCAGAATCGATGGTGTGGAAAAGTTTCTCCAACTCCTCCTCATTAAGAGTTCCATCAGAAAAGAAGGCCTGGAATTCTTCCAAGGACAATTTCCCATCATCTGCAAGCAACACAACAGAAGGTGTGAGGGATTGTCAGCAGTAAAAGGGCAGTGGGTGCAGAACAGAGGTGTTCTGACCAAGGCTTCACAAAAGAACGAAGCAGGCTCCTTCTCCCGACAAAACCCCTTTGCATTATGCTAATGTGAATTCCTATCATTCACATCCAGCAAAGTCCCAGCAAACAGTCTTTCAAGGGTGAATTACAACCACAGACCTTGTCAGGCTTAGAGAGTTGCCAGGCCAATAGCTTCTAAGTGCAAAGCTGTACAAGAAAATACTTGGCAAGGAGTCAGGATCAAATCTTCACACTAATTAAATGAACTAATTGTCTCCTGCAAACACCACTCCCCTTTCGGTCCTCTTTATTCCCTATGGGAGGGGCCATTCACCGTCCACCTGTGCCTTTACTCCCAAGTCAGCCCTTGTTCCTTAACTGTTCCCTTCTCCTGGCAGCTGTGCGCATGCATGCACACATTGGGAACAGGCTCCAGCTGTTTTTCTGCCCCACTGATCTCTGACTCCAAAGGCAGCTGATAACTGCCGGATAGCCCTGGCCTTATCTCTGCCTCTGACACAGAGCCCTCATCAGAGCCTTCCCCAGACTCCAGGACTGGCCCATGTTCCACCCCAACCTCCTCACTGTCCGACTCTGCTGCCAGCACCGTTGTCAGGCCACAACAACAGGGGAAGTATAACCCATACAAAGACATGCAACAGCCAGGGTCACAAGCTATGATGGGTGCCAGTCTGGCCGAAAGGAAATTCCATATTCATCCATTAACTCTTTCTGGGAAAGTCCCTTGCCTATTTGTGTGATAGACTGATTGTCCAAGTTGGTCTAAAGGCACCTTCCTTCATGCTTTGGGGCACTGTTGAAGTCTCTAAACAAATTATTCGCCAGGCATGTAATTTTACCTTAGCATGAAATAACTAGTGACAAAATAGTGGAGGATATTTTTTAAGAGGTTGTGCATCAAGACAGATCATTCTGGTTCATTTTAGTTTGCACAGATTAACCCAGATGAATGACAATTATGGCATGTAACAGTGGTCTATTTGTGGTCTGAGACTGCAAAAAAAAAAAAAAAAAGAAAGAATTTTTCTTCCTCACTGTAAAGAAAGCTAAAGACTGGAAAAAGAAGAATTCAATTTTGGCAGTGGTTTGGTCTTCAAACTTGTTTCCATTTAGTTCCCAAACATTTCATCACCAGACCAGATAAGTCTATAGGATAAGTATGTCTATAATGACTCCTCTCATCCGGGACATCAGCTCTTTGAACTATTACCATCGAGAAGGAGATTCAGGGTATTAAGAACAAGGATGACTAGATTTAAGAACAGTTTTTATCCAAGTGCAGTTTTGAGTTTGAATGCAGGGTCATAAGATTTTTGTGGAATTTAATGGCTGAAAGTAATGGGGTATTTACATTTTTAAATTGTATAGAGATTATTGTATGGTCTGTTGTGTTTAATTTTATTTTTCTTTCAATGGTGTTGTCCAGTTTTATTTGTGGAAGAGCACCTCATTTCGTTGCACCCGCTTGTGAGTGTAATGACAAATAAATTCTTATTCTTATTCTTATTATTCTATAAAATAAGTCTATAAGGTAAGACAATACAATTAGATAAGTCATCAGCAGGTTTTTCTTGCCCTATTCCTCTTTAGCTGACGATGTTAACCATTTGGGAACTAAATGGAAACAAGCTTGGAGAGCAAATCACCGCCAAAATCTAAAACCCAAGCTCCAAATATTTTTGATTATGTCAAAGAAGAATTAGATTTAAACAAGACATATCTAGTTGAACAAAGAGAAGGACTAGTAGTGACATGAGAGCAGTCTTCCAATATCTCAGGGGCTTCCCCAAAGAAGAGGGAGTCAAGCTATTCTCCAAAGCACCTGAAGGCAGGACAAGAAGCAACAGATGGAAACTAATCAAGGAGAGAAGCAACCTAAAACTATGGAGAAATTTCCTGGCAGTTAGAACAATTCATCAATTCATCAACAATACATCAACTTGCCTCCAGAAGTTGTAAATGCTGCAACACTGGAAGTTTTTAAAAAGAGATTGGATAACCATTTGTCTGAAGTGGGGTAGGGTTTCCTGCCTAAGCAGGGGGTTGGACTAGAAGACCTCCAAGGTCCCTTCCAACTCTCTATTCTATTCTATTCTATTCTATTCTATTCTATTCTATTCTATTCTATTCTATTCTATTCCATTCCATTCCACTCCACTCCACTCCACCCCATCCCACCCCACCCCACCCCACCCTATATGTTCAGTTCCTACAATTAATTTTTATCTCTTCTTCCCCTTTATTCCAGTGCATATAGAGTGATAAACAGAGCATTATCCCACACACGAATTAATAATAATTAGCTAATATCGACTCCCTAAATATCCCCCAAAGTTTAAATCTTTTTCCAAAAGCTACAGCACACAACTTATTAAAAGTTAGCAAGATCTGACTTTGATACTTGGGCAAAGCACAGTTCAACCTAGCCTTTTATCCTTTCTATGTAACTTTTTTAAAATCTAGCTAATATTTTTAAGCACAAGGAGCACTCTTAAGCCGCGAATTGACTAAATGTCAGGAGTTAGGAGGTCTTAAAGAGGAGGTAGATTTGTGAGATACGAAGAACCAAGAGCACCAAGGGAAACTGGAAAGGATAATTACCTGCTTTTAAAAAACAGTGGCTTGGGCAATTATAATCCTCTGTATATCTAAGAGTGCAAATTAAAATAAGCAATGCTGAGTTGAGATCTTGCTGGATCTTACAAGCTCTATGAGGAAGCCACCCCAAAATAGACTGAGGTTCAAAAGTACAATATACTACAGATATGCCGGCTTGATCAAATTTGATCAGTAAGAGTGTTCAGAAATTGCATTAGAACCGCAGCATCAAAACTACAAAAATTCTTCCTTCAAAACCGGGGTATCCAACCCTGGCAATTTTAAGGCTTGTGGACTTCAACTCCCAGAATTCCCCAACCAGCCTTGCAAGTGAAGTTGCCAAGGTTGGACATCCCTGCTTTAAAGCACATTAAATATACATAGATTCAGGGCTGCAGATTCAGGCAGACTTTCAATCAGGCAATTTCAGACTGTTTGGGACAATAGAAATCACACATATTCTTTTGTATTGCGACTTCTACTCCAATTAAAGACATATTTGACTTCATTGACTTGCTTGATCAGTCTTGGAAACCAAGACATTTAGATGGGTTTTCAGTAAATTATTTGCAAGGAAACTAAGTTATATCTGAACATGAAATAGTGGAGGGTTATTTTTAAGGAGTTTGCTGTAGCAAGACCAACCCTAATGGATCATATTCCTTCTGTTTCACTTGGGTTTGCACAGATCAGCCTAGATGAATGTCTATTATGGCATGTAAAGGTGGCTTCATTGTGGTCTGAGACTATTAAAAAAATAATTTTTCTTCCTCATTATAAAGAAAGCCTAAGGCTGGAAAAAGAAGAATTAGCTTTAGACAAGATATGCCTAGTCTAGCGAAGAGGAGAGGAGAGGAGAGGAGAGGAGAGGAGAGGAGAGAAGAGAAGAGAAGAGAAGAGAAGAGAAGAGAAGAGAAGAGAAGAGAAGAGAAGAGAAGAGAAGAGAAGAGAAGAGAAGAGAAGAGAAGAAGTAAGAGTGACAAGATAGCATCTTCCAATATTTGATGGGCTGTTACAAAGAAGAGAGGATCCACCTATTCTCCAAAGCATCTGAGCGCAGGACAAGTAACAGATGGAAGATGATCAAAGAGAGATCCAGTCTAAAACTAAGAAGAAATTTCCTGTCAGTGAGAACAGTTAACCAATGGGAGGATTTGCCTCCAGAAGTTCTGGATGCTCCATTACTGGAGGTTTTTAAGAAGATATTGGACAAGATGGAATCGGATCTCCTGTTTGAGCAGGGACTTGGGACTCGAAATCCTTCCCAACTCTGTTCCGTATTCTGTACAATGTAAAATCATTGTGATGACACCTATTTATTCGAAATACAAATTTGGCAGAGATTTCCTTTCCTTCTATAAATGAAGGCTAATAAAGTAAGTAGCGTCAACTGCTAATTTTCATGCTGGATGTCAAGATAGTAAAAAATTGCAAGACTGCTTCAGAGATCTGTCTATCAACTCACACGAGATGGTTTTTTTCAGTCTTCCCTGGCAGGTTATGAATTGCAGCTCCACCAGAGTTTTATTGATTGTCCTTCATTCGGCCTTCACAAAGTTTGTCAAAATGCCCCCAGGTATTGTGGTTATCTGGCAGTAGGTGTGGATGTCTGAGGAAAGAGAGGACTCAGATGAGGGGCCAGGACCATTAGGGAGTGGACTACTGCCTTTCAGAGTTTATGGGGGCTGGCAGCAGTGATGAGGAGTTTCCCGAGGAGCCTGTGCCAAGTGCACGTGCACGCAGGATTGCTCACAGGAAAGAGCAGTGACAACAGCACGGGCAACTTGGGAGTAAGGCTACAAGATAATGGCCCCTCCTTCACAAAGATAAAAGCCAGCTGTGAAACGAATGTACTTTGCAGAAGGCAAAGACGTTTTAAAACCCCAGCCTCATGGATATTCCAGTATCCTGAGTTTATGTGTGAAGATTCTTCTTATTTTGCAAATTATTTCTTGTCTGTTATCTTTTGGCAAGTCTTGCACAGCTCGGCAAGGCTCGTGCTTATCGCAGCTAATTATTTTGTAAAAGCATTACAAGGTTTCTGTTCCTTTTGGGTTGTGTTTGATTTGTTGGAAAAGGGTGTGGGTCAGAACACCAGGCCTTTTGCAGCCAATGGTTTGGTGCCCACCTCACAATCCTAGGAAAAGACACAAACTACTTTAAGAAGTTGGGGACAGAAGCTATGTTGGTGGCTTCCAAAATACCTTTGAGGCTCAGTTCCAAATCAATGCAGAATCTTCTTACGAAGGGTGATTCATTGACCACTGAAAGTTGACAGGTGGCCTGTTCCTGTCCTGAAGACAGGGACAGTCCTGAAGACTATTT